AACCAAAAAAAGTAATAATGAGACTTATAATGAATGGGTAATACTCCTTTCTTTCACCCTCACTGAAAATTACTCAGAAGCATATCTTTAAGGTGGCATAGATTTCAGGTCAACCCGAAAGAAGACACTGGAATGAAAACTGGTTAAGACAAAGGATCAAAGTGGTGATTATTCAGCCATTGCAAGTCTTTCAGGGGAAAGTTGAACTAAACACTGCAACACTTTTTCTATCAGTAAGACTGGTTAATAGACTAGGACAGAATATGCTGCCCAGAGAAATCATGCAATTTTTAATTTTTGAGACTTTTAAGCAGACACCCGGAAAATGTTTGCTACAAACAATTTACGTGAGTGCTGATGCTATGGTAGAGCGGGGGAATAGACCAGGAGACCACTTTGGGTCTCCTGTAAATTTATCTTCTTTGATTCTGTGCCTACAAACAAAAAGGAGTGTTAGCCAAGAACATGCTAAACTTGGGAAAGTGTGCAGTAATGTTTTAAATCCATTTATATACAAACTAAAGTTTAAGAAAATATACATATGAGTTGAAGAACTGCAAATGAAAGATGACAGGGAAATAACACACAGGCATTTGAAATGTGGGCTGAAAATAAAACAGGATTCAGCTTGGAAAATGCATGCTAACATACTTGGGGAAAAATAATCTGAAATAATATCCTCAGTGGGAAAGCGAAACCTGGAAATCATTTATGTTACAAAGGAGTCTTCTGGATGATTGAGGACAAAGAACAAGATAGATGTGTTTAAAGCACCACAGTAATAGATGGAGCTCAGCTGGGACTTTCAAATTCAGGTTTGCTGCTCCTGCAACTGAAGCACACAAATAAATCCCCCAGCACTCACAGTAACAGTCTACCAGCTGATTTATACCTCCATTGAAAATTTGGCTGGAAGTGTTTAGAAATTAATGCTATTTTACAATGCAAAATTAAACTGACCATCTGCCCTGGGAAACAGCTTCGGTGTTGAGTCCCTGAAGCTTCACCTGGAGACCAACAGCCAGCTCTAGTGATACGGCTTGACGACGGCCCGGCTGAACAGACTGAGTAAGGTAACAGGCACCCTTCCAGCCCTCCCCGGGTTATGTGTGGTAAGGCAGTCTGAGCAAGGTCTTGATTCGCTGATATTGGTAAACATGAAAATGCCTCTTGCTGGCTTCTATGGACACGGAATTGTAACACTACTGGATATTCAAAATTTCTGAGATTAGCTGGAAGAAAAGCCTAGGTAAGTAGGTAGGGAAGAATTCAGGTGTGAGATAAATCATAGAAAGCAGCGTGAAGAACTGATAAGAAGACATGAATGCAGATACTGACAAACTCTTTGTTTTTCAATTCTTGCAAATTATTAGACATAGTATCTTCTACCCGCCTTGGCTACAAGCTATGTTCCCTACCTGTCTGTTCACAAGGAGATCTAAACCCATTGAGGAAAATTCCTTCTACACCTAAGAGCAATCAGTGTGAACTCCAGACCCTTACTTATGCAAGGAACTTTAAAATGTGGGTAGACAGAAATGACAGAAATATGACACCCCACCCAGTGTACTGCTGGCAGCACCTTTTTACCTAGTTACAGAGAAAAACAACATTAATTTCAGAGACTTTTATTTCCTCAGAGTCCAGAAGCCATAATTTTGTTTTAGCTGTTTTCTTTAACACAAAGTTTTCCATTCTGTCAGTGGCACACTCAGCAGCTCCTGCCATAAGCCCAAGCCCAAGCACAGTATGACTTCATGAAAGACCTTACATCAGCTGATGGCATCAATGGGAAAGTCTGTGTTTGCTCTGTGTGAGATCTGTGGACTCCCATAGTGAATCTATTTGTACTTAGATGCAGGAGTTAGATGTCCAGTTACCAGATAGAAAAATTAGCTTGGTTCCCTTTGCCTCCAATACTCACTTTGTGATTGTTGTCTCCTTTTCTAGCTACTCCAATTGGATGTTCCCAAGGGCTCTCGACAAGGTAATGTTTCCAAAGGAACTAACCTACGATCTGAGAAGTCTGTTTCCTAGCTCTGTTAAGATGACAGCCACAGGGTAAACTAATCCTTCCACTTCTCTCTGCTCTTGATACTATTTCTCCATCCAAAGCAAGCTTTAATTAGACCCCCCTGTTTTAACTACATCATGCACTGAAATGAGATCATCGCTATACTCTGGCAAATGAGGTTGATCTGTGTGGTCCTCCAGCTGTGCCGAGTGCTTTTCTCTGTGAAACTTTTCCTGCTCACTGTGAAAGGAATTTTGTTATCTGATATTTTTTCTGTCTATCACTGTATCTTACGAACACATGGAAAGGGTCTGATATTGGGCTTCACCAGATTAAGCACAGAGGAGCTGTGTTTGACAAAATCATTCACCGAGTTTGTTGTGCAGGATCCTCTCTGAGGGCCTTCAGTGGTGGAAAATACAGCATGACTCCTGGCACCAGCCATGCCAGTTTCCTGCTGAGAAATACCGGATTGGCAAAATCTGCCCACGAAGGAAGCTGAGACATCTGGGAAGATACAGCACAAATCACCCACAGCTCATACTGTCTCCCCACTACGGTCCTAGTTCTGTGGCAGGAGCCCTTTAGGGTGCAGAGGGTCAGTTTGTTTACAGAACCCAGTGGAGTCACTCAAGATTTAATGCTAGTGCACACATGATCAAACTTGGGCAAAAATGCATTCAAGTAGGCTGCAAGGAACAGAAACACGTGAGTTCTCAATTCACTGACCTTCTTTGTAACCTTAATGTATATTTACTATGTGTTCATAAAGTAACACAAATGATGGGCCAGGATCAGCTACAAAGTACAGAGTTATAAATCTTGGTGAAGGGTAGCGATTACTTACTGGTATTTACCTCTGTTATTTTAGTTATGAGTTTTAGTACATTTCTAAATAAATTCCCTTCTTGTTTTAATATTTAAAGATCTCTTGCAGAAGCAGACATCATGTTTTGTGTTCATTCACATGAAATCTTGTAGCCCACATAGATGTATTTAATTATTCAAAAAATCACATCTTGTAGTCCATTATCAATCTTCTGTTTTCTAAATTTGCTCCATTATTTCAGTATTTTTCTGCTAAAGTAGTTTATTGGACTAGACTGACTATTCAAGGAGTGAAATATGGTACCCTGGTACTTTGGTGAGTTAGGCCTTAATATATTTCTCTATGCCCTCTCTGCCTCTGTATAATATTGTATCGAAAACACATCTCACTTAATCTTCACTGTCACTTCTTGGTCTCTTTTGGTGCTGTTTTCCTGCTTTCTGCATTCCACTGTGTATTCGTATTTCAGGGTTTTTACAGCTGCCTTGCATTTTTCTAAATTCTGTTTTTCCTGATATTATATTATCCTGTCTCTCCTGGTACTGTATGTAATCTCACCTTATGTTACAAATTTAATTTTTTCTGGGTCAATATTATATGCCCTCAATAGTAATATTTGTCTTTTTCTTATTGATATTATCTAAAAATTTCAATAATAAACTATTTTCCACATTACATAAACTCACCGTTAATCTCCAGTTCCTGAATTCGTGTCACAACATGCTCACCCGGGATCTCTGATTTTTTCCATGTCACTATGCAGGTTTCTAAAGAACAGATTATGTAGTAACGAACAAATGTCTTGGTTGTTTAGACACCAGTCTCAAACTTGCAAATGCTTTCAAGCAGGTAAAGAGAGAAGTTGGAGGAATGCTACAATCATAGCGCTTGCTGGGGGACAGGGACTGGCTGGAGTGCATGAGTGACAGGCTGGTTTGCTGCAAACCCCAAGTCACTCCAGAGAGTGAGGAGCTTGCCTTCCCTTGGATGCTCCCACCTTCCCATTCCGTTCATGAGCAGTTATCTAACAAACAGAGGGAGAATCAAGCTGTATTGCATTCAGCATGTACAGAGGAGAAACAAACCTGCTAACAACTCAGTATCTCCCGGGCTTGACTCCAAGCACAGTGAAAACTCGAGGTAAAGAGCTTAGGCCCCTCTGCACTGAGCCAAACTCTGCCTGAAGAAAGATATGCAGGAAGGACAGGAACTCTGTGGTGGATGCTGCCAAGAAGAGCACACAAAATTTTCTTCAAGAAGGTGGGTAAGTAGTAGATTTTGTGACCGACATTTTTTCAGACAGATTTCTCCAGCTATTTTACATCCTTTTAAAATTCGTACGTTTGCCAACCAGGAGTAGTACAACTCATATCAGCTCCTACAAATCACTGGTGTATAAATGAGTCTGAGATGATGGAGTTCTGCTAAGTGCCTGGCTAACATCAGCATGCTGTGCTTCGCCAGCCCAGCATCATGCTGCTGGTGAGGACAGGACAGGCAATGGCCCTGCTCATGAGATATTAGGGAGCCAGTTCAAGGCTGGGAACTGAGCAGTTGCCTACAGCCTCACCAGACTGCTTTTCTTTCTTCTATTTCAGCATTGCTTGTAAAATTTCTCCTACTTTGTGCCCCTTCTCCACTGCTACTGATGACAGTTTGTAAAGCTGCAGAAAACCAGAAACACAACAGAAGTGTGTTATACACCAGAAGCGATATACAGGTGTGATAGAGCAGATGTACTGATAAGGTCAACTATTTTTAGGGGGAACTGAGGAGACTGTGCACACGCATGTGTCTGTGCGTGTGAGTGAGCATGATGTGGCAGATGCATCTCAGTCCTCTAGTCCCACCCCACTGCTGGAGGCTTGCACTCCCCATGGCTGGATTCCGTAAGAGGCTGACAAACGCAATGATTACAAGAGGTGAAGAGCTGCTGTCTCCTAGGTGATTAGTAAAGGGAAGAAGACTCCAAACACAACTGAGGCTGCTCTTCATTGTCCAAGTTGAACTAACTATAAGAAATAGAGGGTAAAAAGTAATTTGGGATTCTATATTATTTGGATACTCTGAATCCATAAAAATTCAGTAACATGGGTAAAAATGTTTCTGAACAACTCATTATGTTTATAATGCAAAGATTTCTTTATTAAAAGGCATTGTCATTAGAACATTTCTCAATGTAAACATCTTAATTTACATAATAAATGTTGAAAGCAAATGTATTTGTTACCTTCAAAATTAGATCCACTGAATTTGTGGGAAATACAGCGTATAAGATCATTTTGTACCACATCTGTGCTGAGCTAAAGGTACGTACTTTTCTGTACATCTTTACTTCCTGTTAGTTTGCTATTTTGGAACAAGACAGTAGATTTGTAGTAGCTCACATTGCTACTAGCTTAAGAGGAGAAATGTCTAGAAAAGATTTTCTTGAGAAAAAGTTGTTTGTTCCCCATAAGGCATTGACATTCGGGGAACCAACCAAATAACTATGTCAAATCGCGTTCTAATTTCTGCCTTGCTCATTCTTCAACTCATCACCACCTGAGAAGTAGAGCACAGGCACATCTGCCTGAGAGGCAGTCATCCACTGCAAGAGGGCTCGGAGCTGTTACACACATTTCCAGAAGGATTCTGATTCACAACTACCACCCTGTGTTCTGATACAGTACCTTTACTCGATACAGCCACGGAGTCAGCAGCTCCCAAGCCCTTAGGGCCCACTGACCCTCCCTGCTCCCTGTCTCTGCCAGAAGTGACTCGGGGTTGCTCAATTTAACTGCCATAAGATGCAGCTTTAGCACGGTATCCACCAGACTGCCAATAAATTGTGGGCTGCTGCTGTCTTCTCTGCTCAGATTGGGTGGATCAGGAAGCATTTTCGTCAGTCCAGATACGGCCTCCTCACAGGACTGCTCAGTGTCTGGAAGGCCGATATATCCCTCAGTGGTTTTGCCAGTATTTTGGTTTGTTTCATCAATAACTGGATGCCCAGGCTGTCCTTCTACTCCGCAAACAAAAAATCCTCTTCTACTTTTGTTTATTAACTTCCAGCTTAGCATTAATGTAGCACTGGACATGTCATTTTGGGGTTTCTGCTTTTCACTGTCTGACACCTGTGAACCGGGTTCTTCAGCTTCTTTTGATACATCCTGACATCTTTCTGAAAACGTTTCAGGTGGGATCATGGGACCTGCATAATCGTAACCCAAATGCAGTGGGACCTGCTTTACTAGCATGGCCACTTTCTGTTGCTTTCTTGTTGGCATTCTTCTGCTAGACTAGCTGACAATCCATGGGCAATAATGAAATCACAATCAAGCCGATGAATCTGGTAGCATTTTGGCTACATACCAAATTTCTGAACTCCAGGGTGTGTTTTTTGGTAATCTTGTTTCAGTTCCCTTCTGGGTTGTGATTTTGAACATTGGATGCATTGGTTTTGGTTTTCATGCCAGAGGGTAAACCCTTGCTTAATAATGTGGTTACTCACTGTATCTGCTCAGGTCATTTCTTTTTCTTTTTGCAATGTTTCAGTCCTTGTTGCTTCAGACCTCAATTATAAGCCATTGCATCTGTTCTTGAACCTCTTTTCACAAAGGCATATGCTAGATGTTGTCTCCTCCAGGTTTTTGAACTATCAAGGTAGAATGAAAATGATTCGACATTGCTTGGACAATTTCTGCAGCCTTATGACTGCCTAGGGTGAACAGAGTTGGCTTCACTGAAGAAGAAAAATCTGAATTAGTCAAGAGCTTGGTGTAAGTTTTTTATATAGGAGTCTATTAAGTCTGAAACCATGGACTTAGAGTGCTTCAGTAACAAGTCTTCACCACAACAGAAGCTATATTTGAGTAATTTGCCTGACATCCCATGGTCTTCATAACTGAGACCACCATGACTGAAACCACATTATTTGCATAAATTGGTATGTTTATGTAAATTATTTGCAAATTCATCTTGGGCAAAACATTTTTGTGATGGCATTTTTCCTTCTCCTGTTGTCCTACCCTTCTCTTCTGGAAAAGCTAATTTCTATTGGAAGATTGGTTTATTTCTTTATAAAAAATGTCTTCTTGGGAGGTGGACTCTCTTCATATTTAGTTTCTTTCGTATTGACATGAGTAACATTTGCCAATGGATTATTTTTATTATTATTTTTACCCAGTCAAAGAGATTTATGACTAGGCTTTCCAAGAACAGCAAAACACAAGTCAGGGCCATCTGACTTCCATTAATCTTTTCATGTGCCATTGCAAAGACAAGGTTAGAGAGTCTTTCAGCATAAAAGGAAACCTCTTCTTACTCTCACTTGCCTTCAAGTAGTAGCCTCATCCTCTGCACCCTTTGGCTCCTTTGGATTTTGAGTGGCTTTCATCTTCAAGTGAAAATCTGGTGGCATCCACACTGATATGTTCACCATAGACACTGAATCCTCCTGGTGATATATTGCACTGTTGGAAGCTCTGCCTCTCAGCAGCTGGTTGTCTTGAATTTCCATCACTTTTCAACGCATCATCAATGCTGAGTGCCCACCTTTCAGGGAGTTTTTTAAACCAGCTCAATATTTTTAGTGGAACAGATTCCTGAATCAGTCTCAGGAATAAAACAAAATGGAAATGCATAATGATTTGTTATCCACACCTTTGTCCCTTGGCACAAAGGCTCTTTCCATTTCAAGAAGTTGTGTGTGAGTAGCAGGTGAAATTCTGATTGGTCTTGGCAACTACAGAAGAATCAGTATGTATACTGATCTCAACGGTATGTTGTCAATGGCAGCAACTAGCTCCACCAGTGGCATAAACTATGTGACTACTAATATGAAAAAAGGTTAGGTAGTTTTGCCATAATGCCACTAAAGCCTGTCTTTTTTGTTTTGTTTTGGTTTTTTTTTTTTTTTGTATTGAGGGTTACTGTTGCCCCGTGAGTGATTGTTACTGCTATCTGAAAAGGTCTATTGCAGCCTCATTACTGAGGACACATCTAATTTCACGTTAGATTAAAACCATAGACTCTAAGTGACTATTTCTCTGTGGTTTTGCTTCTTACAATCAATTTACAGTCGGATGGCTACTCCAGCTGTATGTATTTCCACCGAATGAAGGAAACGCATTTAAAAAGGAAGGAATGACGGTAGCCCAGAACAGTGATGGACAGGTATCTCAGAATATTTTGCATTTTCTGAACCTGTCTGGTGACTTGAAGCAACTAGTCTTTTTGCCTAGCATTTCTCCTGAGTCAGCATCCGCAGCAAGATTGTATGAAAAACTGTGTACATGTCAGTATAAACAGTGAAGCAAGTACTGGGAAAAATGTGGGGACAGCGCGTGGGTAGGTCATATGTCCAGTCCTTCTTCCATTTCAGCAGATAGCACTAACACTAGTGGCAGAATTTCCTGGGTTCATCCCCTCTGAATGCCTAAAAATGGCTTTAGCATAAGAAGGGTTTGCATCTGGAGAATATCTTTTACACTTAGTACTGACGCAAGCATAAGTTTGTGGTAGACTTCAAAATTGTAAGCATAGCTACAGGTATGCTCATCAAGATGGGCATGAGCTTATTTCTGTATTTGCAGCTCAGTCAGATAACAACAGAATGGCAGGGACTTGTTTTAGCCTGCTAGAATTCAGGATAAGCTATTTTACCAGTTACACTCTCATCCACACAGTATTTCCAAGGCCACAGCAGAAATATGAGGCAGCTTACAGCTGTGCCACTACTTGTTGTCTGAAAGCTTCAATTTTTTCAGACTGGCATTAAACAATATTCAGGTCCTTCTGACTCCACTCGCTGGAACAGTCAGTAGGTTTGGCATCCACTTCAGTGGCCAGCTGCGTCTTCTCGGCTAGATACCTTCTATGCTGCAGCTGTGCCACAAATTATTACCTTCCTCCTCAAGCTTCTGTCATAGAGTATGGATTTATATGCCTACCTGGCCGTTTCAATATTGTAGACTTTTTATTTACCCTAGCATGCACCAGTAGACATAGGATAAAAAACTGCAATCCTTCACTACGTTCCATTTCTCATCTCTCCTCTTCTAGTGACTCCTTTGAATAGAATGATCTCCTTTCTCCTACCTTCCTCAGACTAGCTCCTTTCAAACTCCACCACCATTTCTGTTGTTTTTGAAAGGTGTATATATATTGCACAGTGACATATGAGAGATTATCATAAAGGTTCAATGGAAAAATCATTATTTGTCCAAGGCCGCCTCTTCTTCTTTCTACTTATTTTTCCTCACACCTGTTCTTTCTTCTTTAATTTCGACTTAGAAATGGGATTTTCCAGTTACCCTGTATCTAGTTTATCCCTAAAGCCATTACAAACAATCCACAATGCAGAGTTTTGCCATTTTTTTCATATCAATCTTTCTATCAGTATTTGGAAGTTAAACAAAAGCCAAACTTTCTGTTAAACTCACAGTATGTGGCTGCACAAGTTTAAAGAGAAAATCAGTACTGTGTCAAAGAACGTTCAGTCAAAATTTTGAATATGTGATCATTGCACACAGAATGTGGACTGAACTATACATGCTTCTAGAAATACTCCTCTTTGACATCCAAGTCCTCATATACAGGAAATGAACCTTTACAGTTCCTCTAAGAAACCAGAGCACCTTTGCTTCGCGGTCTGAAAGAGCTAGTCTAGATTACCCAGGTCTAGCTTCAACTCAGAATTACTTGGTTTAGATTTACACACTAAATATTAATTCAAATACTCTGGGCTTGTGCCAAGGACAATGTTATTAAGCACTGAGGAACATGGTCTGAAAAAGTATGCAATGGTTTACTTTGGCTGATAAGAAAACATGTATATTTCAGATGAGGAATTCTAAGTTCTCTTCATGTGCTTACCCAATTTACAGTAGAAGAAACTGAAGAATTTTGCTTTCCCTTATTTAGACAACAAACTCCTTACTGTAAAGCAGCAGTAACTACTGTACGTAAGCAACAGCGACATTCCTACACTCAAGGGATGGCAGTCCTAGAATTAATCAGTGAGAAGAATACAAAGTTGTGTTGCACATGTACAAATATTTGGAATTTGGTATCAGAGACTGTTGCTTTTATTAGTAAATTTAACAAGGAAAAGGTGTAACTTTCTTCAAAGTATTTAACCAGACACAATCTTCTTGTTTTATTGTGTGCTTTTCCTACATGCAGATGCATATACAAAGTAATTAAAAGAAACACATTTCCTACTGTCCAATTTGTTCTGTTTTCATTCAAGAATATAATGATCTACTTCACAGACCTTGCTGGCTCTGCAGCCAGTCCATATTACCAGATATCAATGAGTAAAAACATAAAAATCCAAGACAGACATGGATATGAAAAGAAGTGTTTACAGTATGTAGTAAATTATTGAAATAAGAGATTTCCAATTTTTCACCAGAGAAAAGTCAGAATTTAATTTGGTAGCTTTATATTTTATTTGCATTTATGGAGAGACTTACACACTGAAACTAGGAGTTTTCAGAGAAAACAAAGGTCTTACAAAAACCTCTGTCTGAATGAAAATGTAAGTATCAAAAATAAAAGAAGTTTTTGTAGGCTGAGCTTGCAAATTTTAAATTAATGAAAGAGAGTATATTATACACAGATTTCTAAAGGAGTAGAAAGTTGTAATTTAATGCCTTAGCTCCAGAAAATGCCTCTCAGCTCTTCTGGAGATGAGCTGTATTTAAATTAATTTTTTGAAAAAACTTACCTTTTTGTTCCTGCAACAGGCTGAAAGATTGTGATTTTCCTCAGCATTTCTGAGAAAAACTCCTGTGGGCAGCCATATATAATTAGAGTCTGAAATGGACAAAAATTGTTTTCAAGATATCTTTGTGAATAGCAACATTAGCACTCTACTTCTGTTAATTTTCATCTTTACTAGGGGTTTCACAATGCGTTTGAGAACAAAATCAAGTGCAGCAATATTGTTAGTATTTGGAAAATCTTGTTAGATGCTGAAATAGTAACTGAGGAGTGTGAAAAAGAGAAAGGCAGCAAACCAAGAACTATCAAATTTTCTCTTGTTCTCATTTCGTAAAAGGTGACATCTTACATGTAGATAATCTGCTGGCTTTAACTGTGCTCTCAGTCCATGGGCATGAATTTGCTGAAGCAACATACTCCAGAAGTCTTGTGTACACTCTTGTGCACGCTGAGGTATCTATCTACCTTTCCAGGTGCATAAGAAGTAGCTCTGATATATGTTGTTTGAAAATCAATTTCTGCAGGGAGAGCACTCACTTTGTCAAACACTGCAGTAAGCTCATCTTTTTTGCAGCATACATAATTCAAATGCCAACTGCCTTTCACGCTACATAAAATAGCCCAAATAACCTATGTTCATCTTTCTCCAAATGAATTTTCTGTGTTGGGCTTTTTTTTTCCATTTTCCATATAAATTACCCTGTAACAATTGCAATTATGGCTAAATATAAACCGAAATATAAGTAACTGAGCAGACATTATAGCACTACTGTTATTCAACAGTACTGAGAAAGAGTTGGGCTTCAAAGTTTTAAACGCTCCAGATCCTTCAAAATCTTATGCAGATGGTTAATTTTATAATTTTGAAGCTTTTCGGTTGATTTCACTGAGCCTTGTCCATGAAGGGTACTTCAGCAAATATTCATGTCTGAAAGAGAATGCTACCGCATTCACGTAACACATGCTGTCTTATCCTACTGCACTTCTGAAATCCCATTTTTTAACAATATCACTAAATGCCACAGAAATTCTAGCCTGTGGCACTACTGCTGCAGAATCTGGATAAATTTGGCTGCAGTGGCTTGGTTATCTATACAGTGAAATAGAGGAAGTTTGCTAAAGGCATAGTTGTTCTCTTTTCCATGGATGTTTTTCATTTGTTTAATGTTACAAAACCCACCTAATATTACTAACAGCATCCATGAGGGGAATTCAAATTCTCTGTTAAGTATTTTGTGCATTTGCCATACATTTTGATTGCTTTTTCAATCATATCATCTTCTCATCCACTTTCCTACTTTGAGTGCTCCATACTGCTAGAGGTTGGACAAAAAACTTACAACTTGGATTACAAACTCCTGATAAGGAAATCTCCAGAACAGATATGGTATCTATAATTCTTTTTATTCATTTTACTTTGGAAATTACTAATTTCCAAGTTGACCGTGTCCTTTTAAATTAGAAAAAAACCCCAGCTCAATTCATTGCACCCAGCTTATGGTGGCACGAAGCCTACCTTGCTGGAGAGCAAAGAGGACCAAGACAAACAGTTCTGCCAGTGCAATTCAGCCAGAGGATCTGTGGGAATGAGAAGCCTCAGGGATGTCTTGCTGTCATTGAACATAACTGTAAAGGAAGATTAATTCACCCCGACCTATCCAGAAAGTAAATCTCTTACCAGACAAAGTAGTTGGTGCTGGTTGAGGAAGAGGTGCTGGAAATTAAGATTTATGAATTACAGATGACACAAATAGAGGCATTCTGATAATTGTTCGAAGTCATGTTTTACACAGATCCTGGTGTGACCGATCACTGAACCCCAACAATGGAAAAAGCCTCTGAAGAGACAGGCAAGGGCAGCACGCTCATGAAGCTCAGGGAAGAATGCACAGAGTGACTGACCACAGCTGTTGCACAGAAAGCTGAACTTCCCTTGACACAAAGGGAACGGAGGGTGGCCTTTGTTCTAGATAAATGGCTACATCAGCCGCGCGAATCAACCGGCTGTAGAACTGCTCATCCCTGACTTATACAAAAGAGCACAAATGTCTTCCTGCCCTGGCCAGACCAGGATGAGGACTGTACACATGAGAAACCTCTTTGAAATAGTTCTAGACTGTTCACTTCTGAGACTTCTCACAATAGTTTTCCTTCTATCTGCCTCAACTGGCTTCAAATCATGTGTTACTTCCCAGCAGCCGAGGATGCTCACCATCGAGGTAGTATATGCCATAGTATAGAGACCCACGATGAGACACACATTTGTATTGTGAGTCAGCTGTCTACTGCAATTGCTAAGTGTAATTTGTATTTGTATTGTGATTTATGTGCAGTGCTGTATCATTATGCTGAATCAAAATCCCATCAAATAATTTCAGGTACATTTCAGGTAACGTCAAATGATTTAATTAACACACATGCATCCCCTTCCCCATCCCTCCCTAAAGCATGGAATATCTAAAAGCACCTATTTAGTGAGTACTGGGCTCTGACACTGGGTCAGATGTGCCAAACGGGATCCAGGACAGTGCAAGTATCAACTACCCCTTAGCTTACATGCAAGATCTACTGGAAGGACAAAGGATGTAGGTGCTCACTGGGGGTTACCTGTGAGTAACCCTGGGATTTTCCCTGGGGTTACCACTGAAGCAAAAAAGTAGCCACAAATCCACATTAGTGGCATAACAATGCTGTGGACACCCCATGTTCCCTCTGCACCTTGCTCTGAGTTCCAGGAGATGTGGTTGCTGTGTGACTTCACCTTCCTCTTCCTATGACACTTCTGTCCCAGAGGCCTCACATGTAGGTTTAACACCAGTTTCAACCAAGGACAAATTTACCCTGCCGTAGCTTTTGGTTTATCTAAGAACAAGCTTTTATTGCCAGCACTAAAATATTTTGTTTGTGTAGGTCTTAATGGGAGACGGTCATATCTTTTCTCAGTTATTAATTGTTGTACACCATGAGAAAGACAATTTGTGGGGATGCTGGGATAACTTAGGATACCATTCCTACAAGGATGAAGAAAACAGTAACAGTATCACACTAATAAGAAACAATTTAAAAGCAAAACAAAAAAAACAGGTGTTATAAAAGTTCTAATTCTATATAAACAGAGGAAGCTGAAGCACTGGGATATTAACCTAAAAATATGCTACCTATAGGAAATAAAGTTAACCAATAATAATATCAATACTTTATTCTAAGACAGTGCTTTTCATCGGTACATTTCTAAGCATTTCACAAAGCAGGCATCATTATTCCACTTTATGGATGGGAAAGCTGAAACACGACAATGTGACATGACTTCTATATGTCATAGCAGACCAGCAGCAAAACTGGGAGCATACCCTTGGTCTCCTGAGTGCTAACCCTGTGCTTGATCCACTGGCAATGCTGTGATCCCCTTCTGCCATCTACAGTATATAGTCTAGCTTTGTCTAAGTCAAATTCATAAGTACCATCACAGGAAACAACCTATCACGCAAAGATCTCTGCAGCATATGTCTGTTTTCTTATACTCAGAAATGGCTTTCACTCTCATTCATGGAGTGTGTCAATTGCAGCATGAGAAGTTAACACCTTGGGGAAATTACATAACGTCTTACAAATCAAACACTACTCTGGGAGTTAGCAAATGAAACAGATGCAAGATTTCATGAAGTAGATACAACATATCATGTACAGAGCAGAGATACTTCCTGCCTTCCACACTGTGCCCCTCCTGACTCTGGCCTAAGCCACCCAAATACCTTGGTAGAGAAACCCAGAAGAAAAGAAAGGAGTTTTCAGAAGGAGGAGAATATCTGCCAACTGTTCTTCACACACCTCTCAAAAAAGCCACCTTAGGAGCAAGAGAGACTACGGTGAGGGGAAGTCTCGGAAGCAAACAGTCTAGAGAGGTTTCTTAAACCGCTGAAACAGCCCTGTTAATTCAAAGGATGGTGAAATCAGAAAGCAAATGGTCTTCAGTCATCAACTTGTATTCATATTTATCCGTTTCATGCACTGAATAATCTGTAGAGTTGACTGGACATACCTACCTCAGCAGCAGTGGTGTGTTTGTTGGGCCCAGGGAGCTTTCAAAGGATGGTTTCATAACAAAGCTGTTTAGTCTTCTCACCGGACAGGCTCTTTGGTCTCCTCCTTATCCTGCTCCAGCCAGAAAGCAGAGTGACATCAGTATGTCCATAACGGCAGTAAGGCCACAGGGAGACCAAGGGTGCAGGGTTGTGTGGAAACTGAGGCATGCCATTCATACCTGCCAGCCCTTAAAGTCAGCATTTGCGACTATCCTGCTGTTCCCCAATGTGGGAGAGCAGAGAGGTGCCAGAAACCCTCAGCATGGGATTCTTAATAAATCCTCACACATTTTTGGTGATCAGTAGCCCTGAGGCTGCTTTTAGATGCTTGGCCCTAACTTCCCTGGGATTCAAATACTGTAAGATAGTCCTTAATCAGCAATATGATGTTCCAAATTGTTTTTAAAATCAAATTCAGCTCCCTGTAAATTGCACATTTAACCTAATTAACTTGTAATTGGAGCTGTGATGAGTTGTGTGTGTCCATTATCCTATTGCTTTTTTTTGTGATTACATCACCATAAGATATAAGCAGCTCTCGTCAACTTACACATCTTATCCCTACAATAGCACTGCTGAAATAGGAAAATATTCTTTTAAAAATGGAGAGTGGAAAGCACAGAGCTCTGGTTCATCTCTCCTAAAATCAGGGGGTGGCAAGCCTGGAGCAGAAATCACATCTCCCAATGTATAGTCCTTTGCCTTAGCCTTAAATAATCATTTTCCTTCTAATCCAATCTTAGAATTTGTTATAAAATCACTTCCCACGGATGTTTATGTCACTGTACAGATCAATCAAGGGTCAAGTCCCCACAGCAAAAGGCTTGGACTTGGATGAAGAACAAAATGTATGCGCGAGATGCAGGAACTGGACAGACACTTTCATGTAGGTGTGCACCATTTCTGAAATGAGGTTGGGTACCCAGTTCTGCTTGGTAAATTCACACCGCTTTCCATGAGCACCCATTACATTCGTAGATTGTGAGCATCGGCTTTCTTGTACCGTCTGTAAGCACAACTGTACAAATTGGATTTCCCGAAGGCGTTGAGGCAGGCTGGGCTGCTCAGAAAAGCTGTGGTGAGACCGTCAGGCATGATGAAGGTGGGCAGAGCCGTGGTGGGTAGGTAGTTTGGAGATGGTGGGGGGTGGGAGGTGGAAGAGGCCTGCTGCTGTGGTTCCCAGCTACCAGCCAAAAGAGATGAGCACATTTATTTCACTGTGCACCTGGTTTACATGCCAAAGAAAAAAAGTGTGCTGTGGCCGAGAACTGAGGATGGCCCAAGTTCACAGAGCATCCAGATTTTTGCCCCAAACCCTGGATCACCTCCTACGCCACAGCCCTGGCAGAACTGCCATTTGGATTTGTGTCAGAACAGAAGTTGGGCTAAAATCGAGTGTTTTGGAATCTGTCCAAATTGCCAGAAATATTCCCTGACTGTTCTGCCTTTTACTGCACTGATGTTTTAAAAAACTGTTGGGTGAATATGAGCACGGGCTACAGTGGTGTAAGCCAGGTTACAGAAGAATGGCCATTTGTATTCAATGCGGACCAAAAAGCAATGGGAACCCATGGGAAAAACGAGGCTATAATAGTGCGAGTGGCAGATTTAGAGTGCCCTGTATGTGATCCTGATGCAACATTCACAGCAGCACTTGCTTAGGGGGAAAAGTCTCCGCAAAATGTTGAAGACCTATGATGACAGAGGCAGTCAGGAAGTTTAGAGTGGTTGCATGTCTGTAACCATAAAATTGTTTAATCCCCATTTGAGGCTAATTTAATGAGGCCAGGTAATTCAAGGTGTAAGTGACGAGTTACTGAAAATGTTTTCAATCAGTTCAGCTCAGCAGTGGCCAAAGTTACTGTCATTTAATTGTTGAATTTGGCTCATTTCCCAGTAGACAGACACTCAGGAGCAGGCACAAGGACCCGTAAAACAGCAGCTCCCGTAGAGAGACTGATAAATGTTTAAGTTCGGAGTTTTCAAGTGCACCTGGAGGTACTGGGGGTCATCCTCCCTCTGAAACTCCTCTCCTGGTTGCTTCTAAAATTCCGTCCCACCCTCCAGAGCCACGAGGCTACGACTCCAAGCGTCCTTACCTAGTCGGGCCCAGACTGTGCGCCTCCCCGCACCCCGCCGCGGGGCTCACCGCGTCACCCGCGGGCCGGCTCGGCTCCAGGACAGCGGCTCCGCTACGAGGGGGGGTACGGCTGCCCGCGGCTCCGCTGAAGGGCCAGGGACGGGGAGCGGCAGCCGGGAGCTGGGGGAGCGGCTGCCCGGAGCGGGGGGCGCGGCAGCCCGGAGCGGGGGGAGCGGCTGCCGGGAGCGGGGGGAGCGGCAGCCCGGAGCGGGGGGAGCGGCAGCCCGGAGCGGGGGGAGCGGCTGCCGGGAGCGGGGGGAGCGGCAGCCCGGAGCGGGGGGAGCGGCAGCCCGGAGCGGGGGGAGCGGCTGCCGGGAGCGGGGGGAGCGGCTGCCCGGAGCGGGGGGCGCGGCAGCCCGGAGCGGGGGGAGCGGCTGCCGGGAGCGGGGGGAGCGGCTGCCGGGAGCGGGGGGAGCGGCTGCCCGGAGCGGGGGGAGCGGCTGCCCGGAGCGGGGGGAGCGGCAGCCCGGAGCGGGGGGAGCGGCAGCCCGGAGCGGGGGGAGCGGCTGCCCGGAGCGGGGGGAGCGGCTGCCCGGAGCGGGGGGCGCGGCAGCCCGGAACCACCGCCCCGCGCTCCCTCCCCTCAGCCGGCGGCGGGGCGGGGCCCAACCGTCGGGCAGAGGCCGCACGTGCCGCGGCTCCGCCCCCACCGCCCGGCGGAGGGAGGTGGGAACGCAGCGCGCCCCCCCCCCCCCCCCCGCACGCATGCGCGCCCGCGGCACATGGGTTTAACGCAGGCGCGCTCCTCCCCCCCGTCCCCGTCCCCTCCTAGCGACCGTGGAGGTTTGGCCCTGCCCGCCTGCCATCCGGCGCAAGGGCTGCTGGGGGAAGCAAGATGGCGGCCGCGGCTCGGTGGTATCGGCCTCCCCGCGGCCTCTTGCTGCCAAGGGCAGGTGAGTGTCGCTGTCGCTGAGGGGCCGCGTCTCCCCGCGGGGGGCCAGGCCGCCTTTGCGCCCCCGGCCCCAGCCCGTACAGTGCTGCGCCAGCCGCCTCTCGCCGCGGCGCTGGGCTGGGTGAAGAAGCTCGCAGGGTAGCGTCTGAAAAGCAGCCAGCTAAAATGACTGTTTGCGGCAGAAACGGTCGGTTTTCTGCCTGCCTTCTTTTTAGGGAACTGGGGTTTGTAGTCCAGAGGGCTGCATGAGGTTGGTTCAGGTTACTGGTGTAGCTGGATGCTGGGTTGTCTCGCTGGGACTGTCAGAATCTCAGGGAATGAAATGCTGCCCTGTAGGCTAGAAGTTTGGAGTCCTTTGCGATTTCTTAGGGTATCCTTGACGTTTTGGCCATGATCTATAAGCCTGTACAGAAGTACAAAAATTAGATTTAAAGCTCACGTTTGGTCCTTTGTCACCAAACAGAACCAATGTTTAGTTAAATTGATTCAGCAAATGCTCCTCTGGGGAGTAAAGCGGGAGGTGACAAACAGGTTTTGTTGGTTGATAAAGGTGAGGAAGGAATTTAACATACTTTTAATTGGAGCAGTGTGTCTTTTCAAGAAAAAGATGGTTCTGGTTTACTGTGCGTATTTGAGGTTTAATTCAAGCCTGTGTTCATAAACTGCTTCAAATATGGATTGTAAAATTAAGCTTCCAGTAACAAATAGATTTGAGTTAGCGAAGAAGATGAAATCTTACTTCTCTGAGAAAGAATCCTTGTGCAGCTCTGTGTTACACAGGGGCACAGAGCTTTAAGCAGTGCTGCTCAGTCTGGAGAATTAATGTGGGCTGTGAAAGCTGTATGGCTCTACTAAGTCACATTGTCCAGAGTTACTAAATGTTGCATTTTGATAGGGCTCCACACCACATGGAAGGTCCTTTACTGATTGTGAATCTAAGTGAGGATCTTTAGCCTGCTTTCTTTGAGTTTCAGAGATACTGTTAAATCTCAGGGGTTTTTCATAATAGAGGAGTAATTGGGCATGTAGCCATAGATGGTGATAATTTGTGACAGATCTTGTAAGGTTATGGAACGAGAAAAGATGTGCACCACTAAAGACCTTAACAGTGTGAGGCAAGCAGCAACTGGTGTATACACAAAGGTGGGAGAATACAAAACAGTAGTTGGATGTTATTTGTTAGTGTGACAGTGACAGCATCACGAAGAGCCTGTCACCATCAGTTTTTGCAGAAATAACAGCAAAAAAAGCCAAGAAGTAGTTGAAAGGCATGCATAACTTTTTTCAGATTGACTTTCTTGTTGTTCTTGCATGGATTGATCTGTTTAATAATACTTTTTTTAACAGTCCGCTTACAGCGGACTTAAATCTCATTGCTTTTAGGTTTTATGTTGTGAGGACTGAAATGTGTTCCTATCTGAAAGTAACAGAGATAGTGTTAATTCTGTAAATACAATTATTATGTAGGGTTTTTTACAAACCTTTTGAAAGAGAAGTATATGTAAACAAAGTACTGAGGGGTATAAGGTCATCAAACTTTCTCTTTCACCGTCTTGGCATACCATGTAGCTTTTTTGCATACTTGAAGGAATCCTGCCAGTTATCTTTGTGTAAGTCTGCTTTTCCTGAAAAATAAATTAAATAACAAAACCCTAGTTATTAGAACACTACAAGAATGAAGGCAAGAAGATCATCCAACTGTCTCCCTCAGTGTTATCCTTTACACTTGCACTTTTACTGACCTTAATTAATCTCCACTCTCCAGGTACCCATTACATAGCTACAGGCTTTATTCTGTAAAGAGTATTCAGTATACACTACTGTTTTCGTTTGCAAGTTTGTTCGGTTGTTGTTTAAAAGAATAAAGGAAAAAATCAAACCCCCTCTCCAAGAGTTTTGAACATAAAAACCTAAGGTCTGGTCTGTATGTTTGTGCAGCCTGTGTCAGATAACATTGTAAGGATAGCATGGTAATGTGTTTTAAGATGTGCTGTATTGGAAATCCATTGAAATGACTCTTCACCTTCACTGTAATTCCGCAGAAGTATACACAAAGATTTGAGAGGGCCATGTTAAATTAACTGGCTGACAGAAAAAGCAGAGAGTGAAGACAAATGGTGAATATGGCAGCGATGAGTTGGCATGTTCCTTAACGTTTTAGTTTGAGGTATTACCAGATTGATATGAACATATTGTGTCACTTTTAAAACTGCATGTCAGGTTTTTAGACGTTAATTAGATGCCACAGGAGTGTGTACTTCTATTAGACTTCAGCAGATCTTTGACAAACAGTGATTTTTTTTTTGTGTGTGTGTGTTTTTGTTTGGGTGTTTTGTGTGTTTTGTTTGTTTTTAATGGGTGCTTATGGAGTGTATTCTCCTTATTTCTCATAGTTCATCTCAAGGTCTCTGCTTCAGTACTGGAGAGGCCCTGCGTTTCTGCCACTTTGACAGATCCTATGCCCAGTTTAACTGTTCCTGAGCTCAGACCTGTTTTGTAGGAGAGTTGCTGCTTAGGAAGTCATATATGTACTTGAAGTTTGCGTAGGTAATAACTTATTTTGTCCTGTTTCTATCAGCCAATTGAAGTATGGTTACTAGGCATAGTGTATGAATTTGGTAAGTACAAGTATATATGTGTGACTACTTTATTTACTTAAGTGGGTGTCAAATTACCTTTCAGGACAAAATTGGAGATGTACTATCTTTTATTATTCCAATTTGTGGGGTATGGAGAGAGGAGGGATAGACAAACTTTTGGATAGAGGAACACCTCCTGCAGGCACGGAAATCTTGCTGGATTTTCTGGTTTGAAATCTATCAGTTGATCTAACAAAATATAAATTATGTCCAAACATACCATGCCCTTTTGATCTTCTTGGTGTCATGGCTACAACATCAGTACCACTGTATAATAAGGTATAATTAGGTAATACCTAACCGTATTGGGATGAAATGTACTCCTTCAGTGTACAATTGGGATTTTTTGTTGTTTCCTAATGCATCTGTCTCTCTGATATCAAACACTAATCTTGTTTTTATTATGATTCTTGATACTTAGATTTATATGGGGAAGATAAAACTTGCTTATTCTTATCCAGAAAATGCTTATGGCCATGACTTACTAAAAGTTGGAAGGTCAGTTACTGGATTTCTATTATATCCCCAGGCTAGTTTTCCAATGCCAGTGCTTACAGTCTGCTCTTGTCAACAGCCAGATGTCTGTAGTGTGTTCATGCAATCTATATTTTATCTGATCCTTTCTTTTTATGACCATGTATGTGTAGTAGCACTAAACACTTCTGACTTCAAAAATCTCTTACAAGCAGTTTATTTCCGGCTTTTGGCTAACTTGGTTGGAGAGGACATATGTTTCTTCTTTCCAAAGTCCCTGTTAGAGCTACCTTGTCAATTTATGTCAATATCCCAGAGATGTCCTATTTCTGTGGCTTTTAAGATTTCCTAGCTCCTTGAGGAAAGGAACATCTTTGAGGCAGTATTCTATGCACCTTTGCATCTATTCATTCCCCTTCACTCCAGAGCTATAATATGGGAGGATTGCTGCCTCTTCCAACATTTGGGTCTGCTATGTTTAGACTGAGGTAAATAAATCTGGTTAACTGCATCTGTAGTGATTCTGAGGTCTTTGTCCCACAGCTCCCAGATCTGGGAGCAGGATGTGGATATTCTCAGTTGGGACCTGCCTGTTGCAAGTATTCTTTATTTGCTTAACCTCTGTACTTCACCCACCTTATACATCAAGTAGTGACACTAACCATTTAAGTTTTACTTGCTCTTTAGGAACTGATAACCTTAGTCTACTCCTTTTGTGTCTTAGTTTGGTCTTTGACTTTTATCAATGGCTCCCTCAAGCCTGCTGTCCTCTGACCTATCCAGATGTCTCTGAAATAGCCTGTCAAGAGTCTTAACATGGGAAATTTTGCTAAGGCAGATTAGAGAAAATTGATCTGTAATGAGAGTATGGTTTGGGACTGTTAACTTTTACCTTATATCACACGCTTTCTCCTGTTTTGTGTTGCAGGCCCTGGCACTTCTGTGTTAGCTGCGGCACCATCTGTGTTGCAGCAGCAGCACCAAGTTCATCATGCAGTGATCCCTCATGGGAGAAGTGGACGATCCTCTGTTAGTGGCATCGTGGCCACTGTTTTTGGGGCTACGGGTTTCCTAGGACGATATGTTGTCAACCGTTTAGGTAATGTGACCCAGGAGTGCTAATTAAAAAAAAAAATTGTTTAATGAAACGCTAGTTTTTCTTCAGGTTGCAGGATA